TAGACTGCACAGTAGCCCGGACAACATGTCGCTTACCTCAACAGGGTAGGTCGAGTAGGTCTTGCAGGGGTTGTCCTGGTTAGTTGTCATCCCAGCCGCCTCGTTAACGATCCATTGCTGCTGTTCAGGCGTGCGCGGCGTGTTCCGTGCCTTGACAGCAACTTGATGCTCCTGTTGTCGCACGGGGGTGTGGGATGGGATACAAAGGTAAGGGTGGTGAGTTCATGGGTTGTATAAGGCGACATTCAAACGACAATGTCTTTGGCATGAAAGCTCACCTTTGCAGCATAGCAGATGCTGCACGGCATCCGCGATCCATGCGAGAGTGTGCAACTAATCTTGCCGCTCTCGGGGTAGTCGCACACCCAGGCGTACAGCAGGGGCCGCACGGTTTGCCAATCACCGAAAGGGTCCCTAAGACGGAACCCGCTGCAAGGAATAGGTAGAGTGGCATCAGGAATTGGGAGGACATGATTTGTGCATGTATGAAGAGGGGCAAAGGGGACTGCTACATATCGTGACGCCCTGCATACTATGCAGGTGATTGGGTGACAACATAGCAAGATGCAACACCAGGTACGGACCTTCCATGCCATCGAGAAGCGGCTGCAGCACAGTGGTGAGGCATCGCTGGAAGAGCATCACCTTCTCCACGGCAGACATTGCAGAAGGGGGGATAGGAAGGAGGGCAAGTAGCGCGTGGCCGGCTTTCCCCCATCGTTTGGCCTGGGAGATGTTGGCAAGCGTCATCATGAGCGGCCACGCCTTCTTCCGGCCGTTGTTGCTCATGTGCGTCGCATCCGAATATAGGATGATTCCCCCCACGACTTGGGTCCATCCTAAGTGTTCCTGCAATGCACGACAAGGCGGCAACGGACACACGGTCAAACACCACCAAGATAACTGGTCGCCAGGTGGGTTAAACGACCTTCATAGCATGTTCATCGAACATGACACACTCATCATGCACCAGACACATCAGCGCAGCAACGGAGGCATGAGCACGGATCCGGTTTTGGGTGGCAACGGGGTATATCCATACCTGAGCATCATTCCACCACGTTCCTGTTTCCGGCGTGGTATAGCGACGGTCGCCTGTGTCAGGGTCCTCATCGACCCGCGCCTTGAGCTTGAAGCCGGGCGCGTTGTTGGTATGCCCAAATGGTTCAGCGAATGCCTGGTTTACGGTGGCGAAGGCAGTAGAGAAGAAGGGCATGGTTAGATGCGTTGATTGGTGGGTCCGATCTCATACAAGGAGAACAAATATAACTTCATACAAGCACCACAAGGTTCCCACATCAGCATTTCACTGGCAAGGATTCAGAGTCGGCTTACCTGAGCTGAGTTTTGGAGTAGCAGGCGCTGAGGCGGATGACCGTCAATCTTGAATGTCGCCACCGACCATCCGCGATTGAGCCCTACCAAGCGCTCCATCTCGAACCGCTCCAGATCCTTGCAGTTCCGGAGCTCCGAGGTCACAAGAGGCGCAAGGCCGGGCTCTACCATGAGCTGAAGCAAGCCAGTGATGTCAACCTCTGCCATTCCCATTCCGCCATTCACACGCCGAACGAAACGAAGCAGCTTCAACGCGAGCGGATTGAGGGGCGTGGCATCGCTCTGTCCGGAGATGGTTGTAGGCGGCGAGGCTTGACTCCCTTCAGGCTGGCTCTCAGGATGCTCACTCGTGTCAGCTGCAGGTGTTCATGGTGGCGGTTGATGTTCATCTTCCGGAGCCCCCTCGTTAACGTCCGAGGGTGTTGCATCCTCGCCTGCTTCAGGCACGCGAGGAGGACCGCTCACACTGACGGTGTTGGATGCGTTAGACGCGGTAGGTGAAGCGGGAGCAGCGGGAGCGTCCAAGAGAATGTCGTGACAAGGGGTCCGCCGTGACTTATGACCGCCATAAACTTGGGCGTTGGGGAACCATCTGTTGCAGAACTCGCAGACAACGCCTGGCAAAGAGCCCATGTGTTCCGGATCCGTCTTAGAGTGGAGTAATGGCCTATGAAGCAACTAACCTGTTTGACGTTTGTGAACGCATCATATACACCGTCAACGAAGGCTGTGACTGCAACACGGTCATCGCCAAAGCGCGAACTCTCCATGGCGGCTTGTATCTCTGCACGACTGGCACTTGAGCGTGGCGCGATTGTTAGGGACTGGCTAACGATGGTCGAGCAGCGCGGCCGTGAAAAGGCACGATACAGACCGCCAACAGCACGGCATTTCCCTTTCCTACAAGGCGTGTCGTCCCCTCTTAGAGCGACCACGACGTGAGCAGGGCCATATGCACTGGAGTTTAGCACGCTTGGTCGTGAGTGTGCGTCGCGAGCACGGTGAGAAGTACGTGCCTCTTGATTCAAAACTTGGGTTTTTGAATTGTGCATGAGAGTTGAGGGGGATGAGGAAGAGAGGGAAGAGATCCGTTTGGTGCTGTGATTCTTTCCCGAGTAGCTATAGGGGGGAAATCGCAATCACGTAGGTGAGCCCAAAGTGGAGCGCACCTCTAGAGACTTAATCCAAACCAGGTAATGACAATGTACAGTTACATTTTACATAGAAACTCGATTCAATTATAATTAGTATTATACAAACATACTTATGGGCCTGCACAAAAACAACCCCTAATTGACAACGGTAGTGTTTGTGAACCCTCCTAGTTCTCTAGTGTGGTATGGAAACATACGAGTATTACCCATGAACTTAGTGTGTTTCCGTAAGATTGTTGCATGTACCGAATATGTATATCGTCACTTCACAAGAGGTTTTGGGGACCTCAAAGCACCATGCTGAATTAACATGCAAGAATGGAGCCCAATCTAATACAATAATACAACGGTTTCGTCGTTGGATGCAATACCACAACGGTTTCACCATGACATGCAACACATGGGAGTGAACGATGCAGCGTCGCGCTGTCTGAACATGGCTGTCGATAACGCATCACCGCTTGTGCGTTAGCCCTGTGCTTCATACCAATCCCTTTATGCACCTTTTATAAGGTCCATGCAAGAATTGAGCCCAATCCAACACCATACCACAACGGTTTCACCATGTCGCGCAAAACATGGGCCTAGACGATGCAGCGTCGCCCTGTCTGAACATGGCTGTCGATAACGCATCACCGCTTGTGCGTTAGCCCTGTGCTTCATACCACTCCCTTTATGCAACTTTTATAAGGTCCATGCAAGAATTGAGCCCAATCCAACACCATACCACAACGGTTTCACCATGTCGCGCAAAACATGGGCCTGGACGATGCAGCGTTGCCCTGTCTGAACATGGCTGTTGATAACGCATCACCGCTTGTGCGTTAGCCCTGTGCTTCATACCACTCCCTTTCTGCACCTTTTATAAGGTCCATGCAAGAATTGATACAAACCCACTCCCTTACCACAACCCCAGACTATTACATTAGCAACCAATTTTATTTTTATTTTTTTTGTTATAGTTTTAAACGTTATTTAGCTCGTATGTGCAACATTGTTCGTTCGCGACATCACTGTACTTTGCAGGGTTTAGGTTGCTTTCGCTCAATTGGTTCAAAAACAGTTCCAGCATGACAATTCATTTGTGCGTTGGCGACATTGATTGGCCGACGCATCTCAAACGACCCCTCTCGCAACACAAGCACCCGCTAAGCGGTACTTCCGCCATTAAGCGGCTGTGATCGAGCGGTGGGTGGGTTTATGATCAGGTGGCTACACGTACACCGTCCGATCTAGCCTGATCTGATTACAGTAATCTCTCTAGTCGCGCAAGCCACCCCAACCACCCTCGTGCCCCACCTACCTGCTTCCGTCACCCTCTGGCCTACAACTTTGACGCTGCTCGCTGTTTGACACAGGCGTTTCTAGATCGCCCGTGACTCACCAGTCGACTAAGTCATGGGCCGGAGCTCCAGCTGACTACTATTTCAGTATTGATAGAAGCGGAGGTTTTCGGAGAGAGATGACAGAATAGACTGTCGACTCTCCCTTGGTTACATTCATTTGCGGTTCCCCTTCGAAACCGGCTCCACCGTTATGCCTTGTAGAAATTCGCATTCGTGAAACAACCATGACACGTGCAACACGGCAAAAAGAAAAGGAGGAGGAACAGGCCGGACATCGTCGACAAGGAGGCTGTCTCAACAGACCGATAGGGAGGGTGGTGGCGGCTCTAAAGGTACTAATGCGTCCACCGCGCGTGGCAGAGGGCTGAAAAGATTGGCGGGAAAAAAGGCCGCGTTTGGACAGGAGAAGTCCGGCAAGAAGGCGGAAGAGAAGGAGAAGACTGCTACTACTGCCACAGGGAGCGTGAGTCTTGCAGTCCCGTCGGCGGAGAGAGAGGGGTCGGCGACAGGGGGAAACCACGGCGACTCTCCCCGCGCCGAGCATGGCGCAACCCAAGAGTCCGAGGCGGAGGCATCCCAACACGGACAGACGCTGCTCCAGCCGACCGTGGTCGAAATTTCTGCTGCCGTGGTGGATAAGGCCAAGGCGGGGGAACACAGCATCGCCGACGTAGGTAGCTCTCCTCCTTCTGGTGGACGTGGGAGGCGTAGGCAGAGGAAGAGCGATGGGGAAGAAGAGTATGACACCGCCGTGCCCGGGGACATGAATACGCGGTCGAAGAGGCGGCAGACAAGCCGCGGTGCTGACGACGCCGGTGGTGCTGAAGTTGGGACAACGCGAGGCGCCAGGGAAGCAAGTGGCAAGGCGACGGGTCATGCATTGCGCAAGAAGGGCCGACCCGCAGCGAGGAGACCATCCGGCAGAAGGAGGGGCAAGAAAGATGAGGGGGATGCAGAAGATGAGGAGGAGGAGGCTGATGAGGAGGAGGATGCGGAGGAAGAGGAGGATGAAGAGGATGCGGAGGAGGAGGACGCGGAGGTTGGAGAGGAAGAAAAAGATGAGAATGATGACAAGGAGGACGAAGAGGAGGAGGAGGAGGACGACGAGGAGGGGGGCGACGAGGATGAGGAGGAGGCGGAGGAGGAGGAGGAGGAGGAGGAGTAGGAGGAGGGGGAGGAGGAGAGGGACGACGAGGATGAGGAGGAGGAGGAGGAGGAGGAGGAGGAGGAGGAGGAGGAGGAAGAGGAGGAAGAGGAGGAGGAGGAGGAGGAGGAGGAGGAGGAAGAGGAGGAGGAGGAGGAGGAGGAGGAGGAGGAGGAGGAGGAGGAGGAGGAGGATGTGGCGGCAGTGAAAGGATGGGGCGGGCGAGGCAGAAGGGGAAGTGGTGCAGGGAAGGTGGGGGGCCGGACTCGCCATTCCCGAAAACGCGGGGCGGGTGACGCCCCGCGTGGCGAAGCAGCGGGCAAACCGAAGACGCGTAAAGTGAAGGTCAAAAGCGAAGAAGTTGGTAAGAAGCAAGGGAGCCAGGGATCAAAAGGGGATGGTGAAGGAAAGGGCGGCCGCGCCAAAGGGGTTCCAGTGGGTTCCGGCAACAAAGAACCAGCCGGTAAATGTCGCAGCGGCCGCCAAAGCACCCCGCGGAAAGGTGGCAACGAGAAGGCGCAGGCAGCAAGAAAACCGAAGGGACAGCTGAAAGAAAGCACTGTGGCCCATACACATGGCATGGCTGCTGAACTCTCTGCTCAACCGTGCCAATTAACACATTTCTTCACATTGTTTCTCCCCTGCAGGGAAGGAGATGGTCGACGAATCTGCAAAGCAAGGTAAGGCCTCTTGTTACAAAACAGTAACCGTTTTAACCCGATTTAGGTTCAAAACGCTGATCGTACGCAAGCATGTGTGCCCCTGTATTGAAACTAATCGACTCTAATTTTGTGCTCCTGCTCCCTATAAATCTCAGCCCCTCGTGTTACAGGCATTGGGCCACCGGTAAGCGTGCAACGGATGCAGCTAACAAAGGGGGCCGGAAGAGCAAGTGTTACCCTGCTATCCACAGGAGCCCCAAGGTTCTACACGCCATACTCCGGCCCGTCTAAAGTCGCTGCCAGGACACCCGGCGCACCAAGAGGAGAGGAATCCGAATCCCCTCCACCAAGCCACGTCACGCACTCCCCACTCGCCTCACCTACATACCCATTTCGGCAGCTCCACACTTCTCCTGTCTGGGGCAGGGCCGTCTCCCCCCTCGCCGGTCCTTCTGCCAAGGGCCAAGCACTTCTGCCAATCCCTTCCCTGAGCTCCCCTTTTCCCGCCAGCGTGATAGTGTGAGGGCACACGGGACTGCTGCAGAAGACGTTGATCCCCTTGGCCAGAAGGGGGATTCTTCACACCTTTTTCCCCCGCTCTTGGGTGCCCTAGGTGAAAGTGCGGAGCACGAGCAGTTTGTTACACGGGAGGAGTTCCAGGCGCTACGGTCTGAGATGTACACCATGTTTGCTCAGCTCGGCCTGCGTCGTGGAGCACCTGCCAGTTATGCCGGGGGGTCCGCGGTGGTGCCTATGAAAGGTATCCCACCGCCGATGAGTGCCGTGGAGAAGGCACGAGTGCTAGTGTTGCAGGAGACAAACCCATTCCCGGTATGTGGCGGGCCAAATGGGGCGGGTTGGGGTTGACGTGGCAACCAAGGCGGGGTTGGGGATGACGTGGCGGTTTTGGAGGGTATAAGGGAGCGGCGCATGACAAGGCGAGGCGTGTTAGGTGGGTGGGGGGTGACGTGGCTTGGGGTGGGGGAGGGTGACGTGGCGGAAGGTGAGGGTTGGGGATGACGTGGCGGATGGGATGGGTACAAGGGAGCGGCACATAACGAGACGAGGCGTTTAAGGTGAGGGTTGGGGATGACGTGGCTTGGGGTGGGGGGGTGTGACGTGGGAAGTGGGGCGGGTTGTTGGTGGACGTGGCGGATGCAGGAGGGTGTGACGTGGTGGAAGGTGAGGGTTGGAGATGACGTGGCGGTTGGGATGGGTACAAGGGAGCGGCGCATGACGAGACGAGGCGTTTAAGGTGAGGGTTGGGGATGACGTGGCTTGGGGTGGGGGGGTGTGACGTGGCACATGGGGAGGGTTGTTGGTGGACGTGGCGGATGCAGGAGGGTGTGACGTGGCGGAAGGTGAGGGTTGGGGATGACGTGGCGGTTTGAAAGGGCACACGTGAGCGGCGCATGACGAAGCGAGGCGTGTCAGGTGGGTGGGGGGTGACGTGGCTTGTGGTAGGGCGGTGTGATCTGGCAAGTGGGGCGGGTTGTTGGTGGACGTGGCGAATGCAGGAGGGTGTGACGTGGCGGAAGGTGAGGGTTGGGGATGACGTGGCGGTTGGGATGGGTATAAGGGAGCGGCGCATGACGAGACGAGGCGTTTAAGGTGAGGGTTGGGGATGACGTGGCTTGGGGTGGGGGGTTGTGACGTGGCAAATGGGGCGGGTTGTTGGTGGATGTGGCGGATGCAGTAGGGTGTGACGTGGCGGAAGGTGAGGGTTGGGGATGACATGGCGGTTTGAAAGGGCACACGTGAGCGGCGCATGACGAAGCTGTTATGTGATGCTATCATTTGCATTCACGTCTGTCTGCCTCCCATCATATGTTCGTGTGTTGCATGCGTGGTGTGAGCGTGTGCTAGAATTTGTGTTTGGTGTTGTTTGGATTTTCTGAGTGTGTGTGAATTTTATTTGGCTTGAGCAGATATCTGAAGTGACTCCTCTGCTCAAGAGCTTCCCGATGAACCGAGAATCGCCGCGATCGGAGCAGGAACGAGAAAGATATGATCGTTCGAAGTTTTGATTGAGATGCGGTGACTATGGGAATTTGCGGGTTGACTCAATATGGGGTACAGACTTTTGGGGGTTGGGAAATTCGATACCATCACTGTAGATGATGCCAAGTGGTTGGGAGAAGCCAAACCAGGTTGGCAAGTGTGGCCAAGTTGGGTGAGGTGGATGGCATGAGTTGGGAAAGTGACAAATGTCAAAGTTGGGGTGCCTATAGTGAGGGGAATTGTGTGGTATGGGGTTTCCTTGGTTGGGGACTCCCTTGGGACCTTCCCTCTCGTCCTCCTCATCCTCTCCTACCTGGTTCTATTGCCACTCCAACTTTCTTGTGTGAACTTGTGAGATCATTGTGATTGAGTTACGTTTTCTATGGCAGGATACCCCCTAGTGCGCCGAAGTTCATAACTCGGGTTATACTCCATCTTTTGATATTATTCGAATTGCGAAAGATAGCCACGGTCAAGGGCTACAACATACTCGAGTTGGAAAGAATTCTAACTGTGCGTTAATCGTGGACGACGTTTCTTGTGAAGTCGACGTTTCTATCCAGAATTGTAGTTTATGATTTTGAGATATTTCAGCCCCTAATCTTCATAGACTCCGTTCTTAGTCTCCAACAGAAGCGAGGCGTGTCAGGTGGGTGGGGGGTGACGTGGCTTGTGGTAGAGGGGTGTGATGTGGCAAGTGGGGCGGGTTGTTGGTGGACGTGGCGGATGCAGGAGGGTGTGACGTGGCGGAAGGTGAGGGTTGGGGATGACGTTGCGGTCTGAAAGGGCACACGTGAGCGGCGCATGACAAAGCGAGGCGTGTCAGGTGGGTGGGGGGTTACGTGGCTTGTGGTAGGGGGGTGTGACGTGGCAAGTGGGGCGGGTTGTTGGTGGACATGGCGGATGGCGCAGGGTGTGACGTGGCAAGTTCACACAGTGTTGCTAGTCACCATCCCCTGGTCACGCGGCCACCCTCATAACTGCTGGTTTCTCCCTCTCATGTCATGTTGTATACCCTACACCTCTGCGCAGAACAAAGCCTACTTAGTGTGCTCTCAGCTCATGTTTCTGAACCCGCCGGAGAAAATACAGTACTACCCTACACTGGAGGAAGTGTTCGACGCGTTCTCTGTCCACTTGTCTGCAGAAGGGCTCGAGGCAATGAAGCTGTTGTGGTTGCACAATGACAAGTCAACCATGGGAGTCTTCAACCACCAGCTGTCCTCAACAAGGTCAACTATCAACTCCACCCTCAGGCCAGCAGCATACACCGGCATGGGCCTTGCCGATTACCACCATCTCGTTGAAAGCCTGCCCACTGAGCTACACCCAACGACCTGGTTCGACGACGATCATCTCCTAGCCGAGTACAGAGATGGTATGTGCAACTGGAAAACACCATATGCCAGTTGGCAGCTACATATCACCGTGCGATGTGGCTCACCCTGACTCTCATCCCCCCACTTGATTTCTCTACAAAACCCTTTCCAACCCTTACCCTCCCTGCCAAAATGAAGAACAGTGGGCCCTCAACTGGCACTTTGACAAGGCCACCGGGACGCCCTTCAGCAACCCCTTGTTCGCTTATGCGTTCAAGCTCTCCTTCAAGAGGGGTGGGGCGGTGTTCACCAAGTTCAAGAGCCGCATGGTGGCATGGGGCCTGTTTTTGGTAAGGATGTAGATATGTGTTTATACCCCCATGCCTCATCCCCTTCACCCCTTGCTTGTACTTCAGCTAAATCCCTGGTCAATTAAGCCTTTGGAGTTACGTAGATAGTGACGACTGAATCACCGCTTTCAGTTGGCTCATTTACCCGCAACCCACCCTCCTCATAAACCATCCACCCAACCCTACACCACATTGCAGATCGAATGGCCCCTTCTGCAGGATAAGCGCCGCAAGCGAATCAGTAGCCGGCCAGAACAGAACAGGCCAGACTACCAGGAGTGGTGCGAAAAGGTCAAACAGATGTTCCACTTTGCTGTCGTGGAGCAGAGGATCCCCCACGATCCGGCGAGGGGTGCGTTCGTCTTTCCGAACAAGTTCCTCATCGACGATGGCGACCTTGGAGATGTCGTCCTTGCCCACCAGGCGCTTTCAAGGCCCGCCAGTGCGTAGGCTATTTGACCTGGTGCTAAGACTGATTGTAGCTAGAATGTTGAATAATGGTTGTAAACCGCAATAACAAATGCAATTTTAAAATCCTCAATATCCAAAATAAACAAAAACAGAATTTAGTTTTGAATAATTTGGTCATGAATTTGCAACAAAACGGATTGCGCCCGAATGAAAACCACGCGTGCCAAATTGGAACTTGAACCGAGCCAAACGTTGTCGCGAGATGTGTCTCGGAGCTCCTATCAAATGACTCCAACCGTCGGTCCAAATTGAATCCGGATTTTTTTACGCGAAGACAATCGAAATCAAAATTCGTCCAAACTTGGCATAGGGTTTTTGTGATGTAACAGACAAGGCATACATGGCAGCAAGGATAGCATCATAGTCAAGAGCAAAGATATCAACTCCATACCTAAGCAGCTCTAGCCAGTGGGGGCGCTCAGCCTTGTCGCCAAACTCTGCGCACCAAGCGTCGTCAAGGCGGGAGAAGCAGCGGTGCTGAGTGTGAAGCTTCCCGCATGTCTGACCAGCGCGGTCACCTGTGCGAATGACATAAGGGCAGCGAACACTACCCCCATGTCAGAATGTTATATTTGTCTAGCCTGCAGTGGGGTACTCAATAGCGAGTACAACCCAATTTAGGATTTGCTATATGTACTCAACTGCCTGCTAGTGAAACCCCTCTTCTTCTCTCTTCTCTGTTTCATTCATTCGCTCACATTCTAACACCCCAGACGCCCCACGCTCAGAAAACCACTCACAAAGCTGCTGAGGCGTGGGGGTCTCGCCCCGACGCTGCTGCTGCTGCCTTTGGCCACCGCCAGAACCTCCCCTCTGAACAGCTCCACCCCGACCGCCACCACTCCCACTGCCGCCACCACCGCCACCCCCACCCCCACCGCTGCCACCACCGCCGACACCGAAGCCCCCACTCCCGCCACCACTCCCACCGCTGCCACCACCTCCGCCACCTCCACCGCCTCCACTGCCTCCACCACCACCACCCCCGCTGCCACCGCCACCACTCCTGCCACCCTTGCCCTTGCTGCTGCGGCGCTTCCCACTAAG